TACATGGAGGGAGCATTACAACACCAGTTGCAGTAATATACTCATACCATTGAGCAACAGATAACCAAGCAACCTACTCTAATTATTTAGAAGTAACCGGATGTTCATCCCCCTACCCCCTATATACCACACTGGGAAGACGACCCAAGTTTATACCCATACAAGGATGGATCGTAGTGTAGCAGGGTTTCTGACACAGTTATGCTACCCACTAGTGCCTATCAGAAGTGAGCAACTACCCACGTACGGCAGATATAACGGAGCAGACATCTAGAAATTCTTTCATGATGGTTAGCTTAGAGGTACTGTCGAAATAATAAATAATTAATAAAAAATTAAATAATTAAATAATATCCTTAAGGTTTACTTAAATAATGTCCCTAAAGTTTCTTTTAAACAATACTTTTAAAGGTTTTTTTAAATAATATCTCTAAGGATTCTTTTTAACCTTTAGGGATTTCTTAATTTTTTTTTCAATAAGGAACCCTCAGCGGAGGGTAAGGTTGCTTGCCGAAATCTAGGGGTTTAGGCAAGATGGCGTTTCGCCGAAAAGCAAAATTCTGCCGAAACTATATTAAAGTTATATTAAAAAACTGGCGAAACTTTGGAGAAAAGCGAAACTGCCAAAACTTATTATAAATGCTGAAACTGCCGAAACTTTGCCAAAACTATAATAAATCTATAGTAAAATTTTGACGAAACTAATCGTAGGATTTTGAAAAGGTTTAGACAAGCAACCTTAGCGGAAGGGATGATTCTTTGAGGATCCTTCTTATGTTATAGATTTTAGGATTCTTTGAGGATCTTAATACTAAAAAACTTACTGATGTTAGTAGCCAGCATTCTGATTAAAAAAAAATAAAAAAATATTTTAGAATGTTTATAGCTAACATTTCAATTAAAAAAAATGAAAAAAATTTTGAAACATTTTTTAACGTTTCGTTAAAAAATAAAATAATCAGAATGTTAGCTAACATTTTTATTAAAAAAAAATTTTTAAATATTTTTTAATATTTATTTAAAAAATGAAATAATTAAAACATTAGTCAACGTTCCAATTAAAAAATATGAAAAAAAAATAATTTTTGAGCCATTTTTTAACATTTCATTAAAGAAAGTGAAGGGAAAAGTAAAAGGGGAAAGTAAAAGGGGAAAATAGGATGAAAGGCAACAATAAAGTTTTACACATTTTAAGCATTTGTATAAAATTTTTTTGGAAAATATTTAATATTTTTTTTCAAAATGGAACTTGTAACATATCTGTCATGTAATTAACTGTAAATTCATATATTATTAATAAAATCAATTCAGGTCTTATATTTTAATATGAATGCAGGTAGTATTGATATGTAAAATGTGTATTGGAAAAGTAAAAACTTTATATGCTGGTTTTAGTTTATTCATGAACGTTAATATCACAGATTTTGGCAAAGTATGTAATCATCAATACTTTTCGTGATGAAATTTTCTTGACATTTTATCAGAAGAGGTATTACTCAAAAGATCATGTCACAAAATTAGCCTAAATGCTCAGCACTCTTAATATTACCTATTTCTTACATTACAGATAATAGAACATAAACAGATAATACATGGTGAAAATTATTAGCCAGGTGATTAAATATAATAAAGAAACCTTTGATTAGGGAATATGAGAAACAAATTAAGGTATAGGTGTTAATTAATATTGTAAAACACGTTGAACAACTAGCTGGTATTAATCAACGCGTATACTAGTATAAAACTGTAAATTAACACTTTCAAAACTTGCTGATGAAAATATAATTAATTCTTTTTACCAAAATGATTAATAACTCATTCTGACTTAATGATTATTTGCTAATTAAATTGGATTGTTTTCTCCTTATTAAGCCTTTTATAATTAAATGGTATTTTATTTGAAAACTTATTTGGATACATCTCCTTTTTAATTACTTCTCATTGTTATGTATCTTTACATGTGGCTGGTATTCTATTAATATAAATATTTATTTGTTTAGAATGGGAACTAGAACATGGTATATTTGGAAATAATAATGGTGATGTGATGGATTTTCTGAAATTTCTAAACTTTCTTTTACTTTTTTAAATTTAGGTAAAATAGGAAAAAGACTGGGTAAACCAAATTGATGTTATTCATTTTACATCTTAAATTTCTAGAATGTTTATTAAGCCTTGACTCACACAGGTCGAAAAGTGAAAAATCAGGCACCAATCAGTCACCAATCGGTCACCAATCAGGTACCTGATTGGTGACCGATTGGTGACTGATTGATGCCTGATTTTTCACTTTTCGACCTGTGTCATCATAATCATTATCAAAAATAACCTTTTGTTCGCATATGCAGAATACTATATGTTTATCAATAATAGCTGCACAAAATTTATTTTCAGATAAACAAGTTTTAGTATATTTCCACTTTATTATAATATTAAAGCTTTTCAAGTTTTAACGTTAAAACAGAAATAAATGAAAGTAATGGCGTTGGTGACACGAACTTCACTATCCGTTTTGTTTTGTAAATAAACTAGTTTTGTATTTTTGCTATTTATATTATAAAGAAAAAAAGGACACAAAATGATATATATTTTAAAAAATCAATTGTAAAAAAAAAATGAATATCAATACTAAAAAAAATATAAATTCACCAAAATGCATAGTATGACTTTATAAAAACCTTTTTAATCTAATAAACCTAAAAATATAACAATTATTTAAAGGCAATTTCTATTTGTACACAGGGTGTTTAAACACGGGTCATATTAGTAGATTAAAAACGGCATTCAAAACCTACTTTAATGCCTTAAGTAAACTTGCAGAGCAGGTGAAAATACATATATTTATCTGTAATATAATAAGAATAAAAAGTAAAAGAGTATAATGTCAGTAGCATTCAATTTCAAATTAAAAAACAAAAAATTAATCTATTAAAAATTATATTTATATGACCTGTGTACAAACACCCTGTGTAAACTTAGAAATTTTCTTATTTAAATTATTGTAAATTTGCTAAAAATTAAATTTGAACTTCAGACTAAATTAGAACTAATTTGCTAAAACTAAAATATGAAATATATGAGAATCCTGAATATATGTTTAATAAGTATGATATTCATTTATAGATAGTTGAATTTCTGTACAAATTTATTAAAAAACTATTTTTAATTTGAATAAGGATGGCCAATTTCTTCAGTTATATATTAAAATCATTAATGTCAAAAAAAAAAAAAAAATAATAAACCAGAAAATTATTTTATACTATAATAACTTTAAAAAAAATCTTGAGAAATGTTTAAATTATTACAAAACTCTTCATCTGAAATAATCACTAAAATATTTGCTAATGAAAAAAAAAAATAACAGAAAATTTACTTTAAAAGAATAATGAAAAAGCACAAAAGAATTGTGAATTATTTAATAGAATTAATGGAAATACAATGTTCTGCAGTAGTTAAAATAAAAGAAATAAGTTAAATAAAAGAAATAACTGAATAGATACAGCAACAACTCTTAATTTCTTATTATACTTATATATATAAATTATTTATTTGCAATACAGATTTATTTCACTTTATTTATTAGCAATAAATAATATATAATGATTAAAAATTTATTATATATTCTAATACTAAAATTTTATTAATATTTATATAATTTATATTAGCAAAAAAAAGCTATAAATAGTTACATAGATTATGAGAATACAAATTATATGTAAAAGATAAAGCTAATCTGCATATTTTCATTGATTAAATATTAAACCTTATGTTAATTTGAAATATAAAATAAATATAATAAAGATTTTCTATACAATTAATTCAAGTATTCATCTATAAAATCAAATTCTTAAGTGGCGTCGTATTGTGGTTTGAAGTTCCCAAAGATCTATATTGCATCCAAGATTAAAGTTTGGTGAAAGATAAATTGCTGGAACTCTATCAAATAATTCTGTTCCAGGAATATTCATTATATATGTTGGAATACCAGCCGCATTACAGGAAGGAAATGGAATATTATTATTATTAGGATCAGGAAGTCCAAAACCAATAAAATTAGCAATTGGTGTTTTCATATCCAGAATAATAAAGTTTACAATTTTTGAATCGAGATTTGCTGTTCCAAAAGAAACAACACTGGTTGGAACTAATGGATTGGAATTTGTACGAAGAAATAAGGCAGCAACTAGTGCGATAGTAGATATATTTGTATTAGGATGTGTATAAATTCCAAATATTTTAATGATCAATACAATTTGGATCGTAGTTCGTTGATTAAAATATTGAGTTACTGCTTGGTAAAGATCAGAAAGAGATTGTGAAAAACCAATTTCTACTACCATCGTTGGATATGCTCCTCCTATAGAATCAGCAATTTGTGCAGGATTTGCTGGTAAAGAACGATGTTTTGGAAAGATCACACAATTAGGTCTTCTTGAACTGGCTGGACCTAAAATCAGATCTTGATTATTACCATAATCAAAATCCTGACGATTCCATGCACCCATTATTACATTGATATTTCCTGATGTATATGCATGAAGAGCTAATGGTACTTCATATGCTTTAATACTTCCATCATGTAAATATATACGAACTAAATTGAATTTATCCTTATTATTTTTAATATAACGTAAATAATTATCAAGTGAAACATTTTCTTGCAAAGTTATTTCTCTTGATCCTGTATATCCTTCTTTTTCTTCTTCTTTTTCTTCTTCACCTTCTAGATGGATCTTTTGGTATTCAAGCAACTTTTCTCTTGCTGAAATAATAAGTATAGAGGATATATAAATCCTTTTCTCTTTTATAAACTGTCTATTAGCTTGAAAAGTAGATAAAGGAATAAATTGAGTTAAATAATACTGAGAATATGTAATGCATATAGATTGTCTATTATTCTAAAAAGTAGATTGAGTAGATTGAAATTGAGATATAGAATATATAATAGTACAGTAAGAATAATGACCTTCTGTTTCTGAATCTGAAATTAACACTAGCTAATAGACTTTAATAGATTGGAAAACTGTTAATTACTTATAAACTTACCTGAAGTATTATAAGGAGAAGTCATAATCAATTTATTTTGTAATTATTAAGAGAAATATATATAAAAAAATTTTGATTAGTGTATAAATGATTAATTGCTGTGCAATTTTTATGTAAAGTGATGTGCAGTAAAGTTCTGACAAATTTTGATATTTTTTGAATAATATCTGATAAATTTTGAACAAAATTTGATATCTTAACTTGAATTACACCTCATATAGGAATATATAGAAAGTAAATAATATAGTAAGTTAGAGGTATAGAAGGAGGACAACTTATTTGTTGTATTACTTAAAAACTGTTACCCCTGAAATTAACACTATTAGCTATACATGAAACCGAAATTGGTTAATTTTGACCTCTGAAATGGTCAAAATTACGTCATAGTCATATGATTTTATAGTAAACAATAATATTAAAATTCAAAGTTAACGAACTCTGCATCCAGTGATTCGATTTTTATGATCTTTACACGATTAGATTCAGCTCATCGAGAGGATTCTAATGATATGTATTTCATATTTGTAGCATCAATATTGACGGAGTTATTCATGTTTAAAATTTGGTATTAAATAGTCTTATAATTTTTATAGTAAACAATAATTTTAAAATTCAAAGTTAACAATCTCTGCATCCAGTGATTCGAATTTTATGATCTTTACACAATTGGATTCAGCTTATAGAGAGGATCCAATGATATGTATTTCATATCTGTAGCATTAATATTGACGGAGTTATTCATGTTTAAAATTTTATATTAAATTATAATTATAAAAATCACATGACTATGATGTAATTTTGACCATTTCAACTTTAATTTTGACTTTTAACCTTCCCAAGTTGAAATATTTCTACTTTTGGGCTTTAATTTCAACTTCATGTATATTTAACACTTGTTTTTAAATTTTAAGAAGACCTTAAGTTAACTTTATTAGTAAAAATAACATTAAATTTACTTTATTTATTATATTTACTGTAATAAAAATAGCTGATAATAATTTTTTTTTTCTGAAGAATTCAAATAAATTTTTAACAACTTACACATAATAATCAGTATCATATTTTAAGAAATGGTATATTAGGACCCAAAAATATACATATAAGGGTTAGATTTGAGTTTACGTATTTTGAACTAAAAAAGTCATGAAAATCTTTTCATTTTTAGATAATTTTTGATAATGCCGGTCAGAATTTTATCTCTTAACACTGGTAAAAAAATGGTCTATCCTACACATATCTTACACATATCTTACATATATCGCGTACTCAAAATGTAGAAAATCATACACAAATAATACACATATCATACACATATCGGGTACTTATATATATAGTATACCTATCAGGTACCTGATATATGTATGATATATATATTAGTACCCGATATGTGTATGATATGTGTATTATTTGTGTATGATTTTCTACATTTTGAGTACCCAATAT